GTTTGTACATGTGGGGGCTGGGGATTTAGCTCAGCGGCATAAGCGCCTGCCTTGCAAGCAGGCGGTGGTGAGTTCAACCCCGGTACCGATAAAAATGAAAAAGACAAAAAAAAAAGGATTTGTACATGTGTTAGTTTAATCAAATTATAAACACTAAGTATGGAGTTTTATTTTGAATGTCTATTATTCCTTAATAAAGTTGTTTCATAAAAAGACGAAGAAGACAAGACATATACGTATGAAAAGTTAAAAAAAAAAAAATTAAGCTGCGCTAAGTGTCCTCTAATTGGCCCAGATGATTCCTGCCTCTTGGTATTTACACCCATGCGCAACTCTCTCTTCTAGAGTGCAGGCTGAATTTAATAACTTGATACTAAGGAACAGAATGCGGCAAAGACAATGGGCTGTAACTGCCACAGATAAAAAGATTGCTTGTTTCCTGGACATGGACTTGCTCTGAGTGAAGCTGGTTCCTATAATATATACTTTTTTTTTTTTGTCTTTTTGAGACAGGGTTCTTGCTATGCAATTTAGCCTGGCCTTGAGCTCACTTTGTAGCCCAGGATGGTACTGAATTCACGATTCTCTTGCCTCAGCCTCCCAAGTGCTGGGATTAATACGTGCGCCACCATGCCCAGCTTTTAATATATAACTCTTAAACTAAGGAGAAACTCATTTTCAAAAAGAATTGAGAAGGAAATTCTACTTCCAGAGTCTGTAAGGAACTAGACCCAGAAACTGCAGGGCTGAGCCCCAAAGCCTGTCTGCTCCCAGGTGAGCATCCAAATGAGATCCCAGATCTGCCCAAGACTCTGACAACAGCCTTGGGTAGCACCTAGTGTCAGAGGTGCTGAATTAAACCACATTCAGATTCCAGAGACACAGAAACAGCAACAGCAGTGTTTGTTTCTTGAAGCTATACTTTTAATAGAGATGTTTATTTATTCCTATTTTTATTTTGCTGGGGCTTGAACCAGGGCCTTATGTAAAATTAGGCAAGCACTCTACCATTGAGCTACATTCCAGTCCAGGTATGCAGTTTTGTTACAGAAATAGGTAACTAACACAAGATCTAAATCACACTATTTAAAAAAAAAAAGCCTGCCAAAGCAACTATATTCAGTTCGAATATATTTAGCCAAAACTAACAACACTTAACTAAAACTGAATTACATGAAGGCTCAATTTTCTCAAGAGATTGAAGTCCAGAAGTACCACCGTGCAAGGCTGGTGCAGCACCTTAAAATAACACCAAGACCTTCTCACTTAGGATCAGCCATCCTATGAACAGCCTCAGCCTGAGGCTTGTTACTCTGGGGTTACAATATGACCACATCACAGGAGAGGAAGGAGCTTTTGGCTTTACAAAGAAAATTAACACTGTCCCATGAAACTTGAAACCATTCTACTTCAGTCTGTTATCAGAACTGGTTTCCACTACCCCACATAATTGCAGAAAGACCAGAGAAAGATGAACTTTTTCTTTTCTTTTTTGACAGTTTCCTCAAAGTAAGTGCTTCGTTAGGAATAGGACAGAGTTTATTAGGTAGCAGTCCACAGTATATGCCAAACAATGTATTTTATTTGTGGTAAAATAAAAACCATTCCAGGAGTTTAGAGAAGAGCTAGAACTCTTTAGCGATGGGCACTTGAGGAGGTTTCTGAAAGGAAAGATATTTAGAATTTGGCTAAGTAGAAAGGAAGGACAAGGCAATTTTGCGAGGGGTACCAGGAATCAAACTCATGGCCTTGTGCTTGCCAGACAGGCACTGTGCTACTGAGCTATATCCCTGGCCCTAAGGAAATTCTTTAAAAAGACAAAAGCAAGCAAGAAAAAAAACCAAAAAAATGGAAACAAAAACAAACCAGGAGGACAGAATGCCTCCCTGGGTGCACTACTGGGAGGCAGAGAACCTCAGGAGGCAGGCTGCAGAGACCTCCAGGGTATCCCTCAAGGGGATGGTGGGATCTCAACCCTTCCCGTAGCCTTGATTTATGGTGCACTCTCATTGTGACCCATTGCCTTGCCACAGACTCAAAGCAATCAGCCGTGTTAATTTGTATTGCTGTGACAAAAGTACCTGGGATAATAAACTTGTAAAGAGTGAGGTTTACTTTGGCTCCGGGTTTTGGAGGTTTCAGTCCATGCTCATTTAGCCCTGGCCTTGGGTTTCTGGTCTGGCAGTGCATCATGGTGGTGAGAGCATAGCAAAGGAAGCTACTCACGTCGAGGCTTCCAGGGAAAAAAAAGACAGAAGGGCATATGGTCCCAATATCCTCTCCAGGGCACAGCCCCAGTGACCGAAATTCCTCCCAGTAGGTCCCACTCCTTGATGGTTCCGCCATCTCCCAGTGGTGCCTCAAACAAGGGCTCTTGGAGGACGTTTATGAAAATGACACCAGGGCCGATCAGTCACAGACTACAATCTCAACACTATGGGCCAAAACAAGTTTTCTAAATTAATTATCTCAGGTATTTTTTATAGTGATGGGAAACTGACTAATGTGGCCTTGTATAAAGTTTCTAGTTGCTCAGCTAGGTTTTTAAAAGAATCGCTGTATGATGAACAGGCAGGTAAGAAAAATATAACACTGTACTTAAAGATAAGATATGGACAAAGAGCTGGGCATGGTGGTGCATGCCTGCACACGCAGGAGGATCACTGTGAGCACAAGGCCACCCTGGGCTACGTAGGGAGTTCAAGGCCAGCTGGAACTACATGGCAAGACCCTGTCTCCAAAAAGAGGGAAAGGGGGCTGAGGGTTTAGCTCAGAGGCGTAAGTGCCTGCTTCGCAAATGCAAGGTCACGAGTTTGATCCCCAGTACCCCCCTCCCCCCAAAAAAGGAGAAAAACAAAAATGAAAACAACAAACAAACAAATAAACAAGAAAGATATGGACAAAGGATCTGAACAAATATTTCACCAAGGCAGATGCACCAATGGGCAAAAGAGTATGAAAAGACATAATTAATCATCCAGGAAATAGAAAACAAAACACCACTTCACCACCAGCAGGATGACAAGAATCAAAAAGTCAGGTGGAAAGTTTATAAAGGATATGGAGAAACTGGAACTCTCATACATTGAGGGTAGGAACATAAAATGGTACCACTTCTGGAAAACAGCCTGGGAGTTCTTCAATAATTAAACGGAGTTACCAAGTGATCCAGCAATTAAGTAAAATACATAAAATTACAAGGAAGTACATCCTATTGAAATGCAGCCATTCTTGATACTTACATACCAAAACTAATTTTGACACAGACCTTCCACTTTCCACAAAAATAAGCTCAAAATGAGTAATAAATCTAAATGCAAAAAACAAAAAAACCCCAAAAAACAAACAAACAAAAAAACTGTAAAGTCCTCAGGGGATAAGTTAGAATATTTAGATACTCTTAGGTTTGGCAATAACCAGAATAATCAGTGAAAGAAAAAGCAAAATGAAAATTGAAAACTTCCCTGTGAAAGACACTATTAAGAGAGTGAAAAGACAAGCTACACCCTGGGAGAAAATCTGAAAAACCCCTACCTGCAAAAGGACTAGTACCTAAAAGCACAAAGAGCTATTAAAACTCAGTAATAAGAAAACTAAAAAAACAATTTTAAAACGTGGGTAAAAATATCTAAGCAAATACCTCCTTTCATAGAGGTGGCAAACAAACAAGTGAAAAGATGTGCCATATCATGTTATTAGAAAATTGCAAAGACAATGAAGTAACAGCACATACTTGCTACAACTGCTAAAACACAAAACACTGACATCATCAGACACCGGTGTTGGTGTGAACAACAGGAGCCCTCGCCCACTGCAGCTGGAAATGTGCATCGTCTAGCCACTCCAGAAGGTACTTCAGCAGCTTCTTGGAAATCAAACGTACACTTACCATATCCAGCAGTCATGCTCCTCAGTGTTTACTCAAAAGATCTGAAAGCTTACGCTCACACAAGTCTGCATACAAATATTTACAGCAGTCCAACTGCCAACATTTGGAAGTAGACAAGAAGTTCTTAATAGTTCAATGGCTACTCAAACTGGTATATCCATGCCAGGGAATACTATTCAGAGAAAAGAGATCATGCCACCAAAGGGGCGTGCACACTGTTCAGTTAAAGAAGCTAGTGTGGAATGGCTACAATCTGGAGGAAGATAAAACTATGGGGTCAGGGTAAAGACCAGCAGGGGCAAAGGAGCAGAGCTAGAGGTGAGGGGAGGAAGGGGAAGAAGAGCATAGGGTTTTGCAGCGAAACTATTCTGTATGAAACTGTAATTGTGGACAAGTCATCACACATTTGTCAAAACTCACAAAATGTACACCAAAGAATAAGCCTTGGTAGCCTGTAGTTAATGCTGAAAAATCAAAATTGGGTCATCGAGTCTAATAAATGTATCGTGCTAATGCAGGGTATAAATAACAGGGTGCTTGGGCTGCGTGGTCGGCTAATCTGTCTCTCGTCACAGCACTCAGAAGGCTGAGCAGGAGCACCGTGAATTCTGGGCTGGCCTGGAGTACACAGTGAGACCCTGTATCAAAAGGGATGGATGGGTGAATGACAGAGGAGATTGTTTGGGTAATGAGGGAGAGAAGGCCATTGAGGATTTCTCTGTACTTTCCCATCAATTCACCTACAAACCTAACTTTAATTGCCCCTCCCAAAAGCTGATTTAAAAGAAAAGAAAAACTAAATTACTAGAAAACAGCATCAAGACATGTGGGAAAATGAAAGTTACAGCATTCTAAGGTTGTAGCACTGCTTTTTGTTTGTTTTGTGGTACTATGGATCACATCCGGGGTGTGCGCATGTTAGGTAAACACTTTACCACTGGCCTATGTCTCCAACCTAAGGTCTGAGAGAAAGAGATGCTGATTATCTTTAAATTTTACACCAAGTAATACATGAACAATGTGAGGGGAACCACTGAATGAAAAAAGGCTTAGGTACAACAAATCTTCGTGTTATGAATCACATCTATTACTCGTAACTATGGCAGCTTACCTGAGATTCCAGCTCCTCCAATTTACGTTTCCTTGCATGGAGAGCTTTGCTCGGAAAAGCCCAGTAATAATTAGACGTTCCAATCCTCTCACAGTCCACCATACTATCATCAACTAAGCTTTGGAGAACTTCTTTCACTGACATAGCAGCTGAGAGAAAGAATTTTTATTTAAAAAATTTATTTTTAACATACATACATACATAATACATATATACATATAAATATGTGTGATATACATAAATTTTTTTGGTACCATCGAACTCATGACCTTGCGCTTGCCAGGGTGGCTTCGTGCCACTCCCCAGCCCCGAGAAAGAATTTTTAAAGACTATTAAAAAGCAGCATAAATAAAATTAAAAAGCAAACAACTTTTGCAAACAATATATCTTGAGTCAATAAGTTATAAGACACTCAAAATAACAAGATGACAAACAAAAAAATACATTAAGAGACTTTAGAAATGTGTATGGCTAATATATAAGGAAATATTCAACCCTACTCTTAACTGAAGGAATGCAGAAATAAAACAATGAGATATGCCTTCTTGACTAAAAACATTAAAAAAGAATACATGCTTCAAGTAAATGGCAGAAAAATGTGGAACTATGTGTCTGCAATTATAGATTTATTTATGTGTTCCTTTTATGGAGAAATTTTACCTTATAAATTCAACCACAAAATGTCATGATGGATATGTACCCTGTTTGTCAAAGCTTTAAATGGCAGAAAAAATGGCAACCAATCTAGTGATGGGATTTTTTGAAATGTTCTGTAATAATTTATGCTAAAAAGAGTAATGGCATAGATATTTATTCAGATAGTCAAGACACATTCCACAGAATGTGCTATATGAAAAATAAGGTCAACACAGCATGCACCAACATAATAGTCATTATCTCTGGATGGTGCTAACAAGCAATTCTGATTTCCTTATGTTTGCTTTTTTTCTCCCCCAACAACGAACATGTATTATTTTTTGCTAAGAAAATTAAAACAAAACCACTAAGAAAAGTTAAAGAATAAATAAACAAACTAGGTCCTGTAGTTAGGATTAAAATTAAAAATCAGCCAGGCCAGATGGTATACATCTGTAATCCCAGCAAGAGAGGCTGAGGCAGGAGAATCACAGTGAGTTCAAGGTCAGCCTGGGTTACATAGCAAGACCTTGTCTCAAAAAACAAAAGAAAACAAACAAAATACTCCAATAAACATGGGCTTATGTGGAAAGGATCTTTGCAGATGTAATTAAGTTATGGATCTTAAAACGAGACTTTCTTGGACTTCAAGAGAGTCCTAAGACGATTGAGATGTGTCCTTATAAAGGAGAAAAGAGAACACAGATACAGAGGAAAAGGCCACCTCAAGACAAAGCCGGACTCTTCAGTTCAGCCACGTCCTGCTGGCAGCCCCTGGGAGCAGGAGGAAAAGAACAAAACAGACCCTCCCTTGGAGTCTCCTTGGGAACCAGCCCTGCCTACATCTTAGTGACGAATGTCTGGTCTCCAGAATGGTGAGAAAACAAATTCTGTTGCCTTAGGCCTTCGAGTTTGTGGCATTTGTTATGATAGGTCTAGGAAACTAACACACTATGTAAAGATGTAAAAATTACATTTAACAAACACAATACACAGTTTATGAACAGCTTAAACATGATACACAGAATATGCACAGCTTTTTCCTCTTTTAAAATAAACTATAAGTGTGGAGATTGTCCATGTATATGCACATATGTCCTCTTGAACATATGCTCCAAAGATAACCAATCTGTCCATAGCCAACAGAGGTCAATATAGGGACATTTACAAACATTCTCATCTTTAGAACTTTTTGTCTCCATATGGGAACTGTTGCAGAAAAAAATGACATTTACCCCCCAATGCATCCCAAGTTCATACTTACTAATCCCTTTCTCTTTGGGAGCAATCTTCTCCAAGTCTTTTAATTGAAATACATCTTTCTGTTAAAAAGAGTTAAAGAATAGAAGAAATATAGAGATTATTTTCCACTGTATATCTATATTTGCCATGATTATATTTATAAAACATTAAAAAATCTATGCCTAAAAATGAACTGAGCAATCAAATTAAGCATTTTAAAACTAAAAAGAGACTGTGATTATCTTATTCAACAACATCCATAGAACTTAAAATGGACAGACTTTTGCATAGATATGTAATTCTTTAAAGTACTTGGAGATCAAAACAACTATGTCCCCACTGAAATAGAAAAACTAGTTATGCTTGATTAGTTGGTAATATAAGCCTCCCCGACACTGGTTCGAAGAAAATAGCATACGAACATTAGCCAGGTATGGTGGCAAGGCATTTCAGGCCAGTCTGGGCCACATGAGACCCCAGCAAAAGAAAAACAGTACTTTACTTAGGATATATCATACTCAATGCAGTTCTAATTAAAAGCAAAAGCGATTAACTGTCAAGATTTGTTTATATTTCAGGTTAAGCACTTACACCTAAGTAATAGGCTGTCTGAATTGTTCACCTGTACATTTTATAAGACCTCCAGATGCAAAGCAAGTCACTGTGGAAAAATATGCCTATAGACTATTTAACCTGATAGAGGGAAAAAAAATTACATTGAATTCTCTGTTTGTAATAGATGTGGCTTAATTGGTGAAAATAACCTGGATAATGAAAGTGAAGTTAGCTGAAAAGACTAAAGTATTCAAATGGGACCTCTAATCCTAGTTTTCTGAGCAATCACCACACTGATTTCCACAGTGGTTGCACCAGTCTAAACTCCCATCAACAATGGAGAAGGGTTCCTTTTTCCCCCAGAGCACTGCAAGTGTTTGTTATTCTTTTTTTTTTTTTTTTTTTTTTTGCCTTTTGGAGACAGGGTTTTTCTATGCGTTGGGGCTGGCCTTGAGCTCACTTTGTAGCCCAGGCTGGTCTGGAACTCACAACGATCCGAGTGCTGGGATTATAGGCTTGAGCCACCATGCCCGTCTATATTAGGTTGATTTCTTGATGACAGTCATTCTTTCTGGAGAGAGATGAGATCTCAGTGTTGTTTTAATTCGTATCTCTCGAATGACCAGTGATGTTGAACATTTTTCATATATTTATTTGCTGTTTATATTTCATCTGAGAAGTGTATATTCATCTCAGGTGCCCAGTTTTTGGATTAGGTCTTTGAATTTGAGGGGTCTGATTTTTTTCACTTCTTTATATGTTCTAGTTTGAAGTCCTTAGAGGTTCCATTCAACCTGCTTAGTCCCCTTCTGGGTGACTTCCTGGAAGAATTAACATCACACCACAGCAATATATGTGTACCTATATTTACAGCAGTACAATTTGCAATAGCTAAATCATGTAAACAACCTAAGTGCTCATCAACTGACAAAAGGATTAAAAATGATGTGGTCTTTTTATACAATGAAATTTCTATGCCCATATTTTGTACTGTGACTACTTTGAAGAAAACAATATACAATATATTAACTATTGTTATTCTCCTATCATTTTGTTATAAAATTCTGTTTTATTTTTTCTACTAAAAAAGACTAGTAATTAGAACAGAAATATCATGATTATTTTTATGGAAATCTGAGATCTATTTCTTCCAAAATCAAGTTTATTTGAAAGCACTTTCTACATAGGGAGACCCTGTCTCAACAAAACAAAACAAAAACAAAAAAATGAAAGCAACTTCAACTAGATAGAAGTTAAACTTCCAAAAAATTGAAAACTTCTTCAAATGGGCACTGCTAAAAAAAAACTGGAAAGATAAATCATTTCCAGATGAAAATATTTGCAAAACAATACTTGACAAAGGATTGGTACCCAGGGTACCAATCTTTATATTCAAATGAATATAAGGAATTCCTTTGAGGTATATTTAAGAAAAGAACTGATATTAAATAAAGGAGTGAAAAGATGAATACAATGGATAAAGCAAGTATACTTGTAGAATTCAGGTGGTAGGAATATAGTTATTTACTGAAAACCTGTTTGATCTTTGTTATATGTTTGAATATTTTCATAATGTTCAAAAAATTCATCTTACTATGGCTAAGATTTAATTTTGTTTTCTTGTAAGACTTAACTTCTCTTTCACTTTACCCAAGGTTTAATAAATTAAGGAAATACTAACTAGAGAATGAGATCGATTTTTAAACTTCTGGAAATCAGATATTTAAAGATAATTATTTATAATCTCAGGGAACATGTAATACATTGTGACTGCAAAGAGACTTTTTTTTTGTCTTTTTCCTTTTTATTGGTACCGGGGATCGAACTCACGTCTGCCTGCTTGTAAGGCAGGCGCTTATGCTGCTGAGCTAAATCTCCAGCCCCTTGCAAATAGACTTTTAACAATGCATTCGAAAAATCAGTCTCTTTACAAATTCTTCAGATTCCTCGGCAAAGGAACATGAGCTCATCAGACATTGCCAACACAGTCAGCAGAGAGGAACGGCAGACATACTGGTCACCCCTTGGGCTTGCTGTGTGACCAAGGGGCTGGGGAAGAGCAGGTCTCCAAATGCAGGTCGACAGGCAAATGCTGCTTAGTAAAACAGCATATTCGGTAGTTCTTAGATGCCTTGGAATTAAACACTGAGGAGAAGGAGAGATGAAAAGGATGGTTCTAGCTTAAAAAATAAAAATAGAAAAACCTACATGTAAGATAGTATGGGAGATCTAGAGTTACAATAGCAGATTAATGCAATCCACTGACACCTAGAAGTACATAGACTATCTCATTCTAATTCTCAAATCAACACTGTGAGCAGGATACTATTATAATCCTTTCTAATAAAGACACAGACACACAGAACCAGTAACTTCTTTAAGGCTGCACAGCTATTAGGTAAAATAGATTTTGGATATAAATTCTCAGTCATGGAGCTATGCTGTTCCTCAGTTCTCCCCGTATAACTGGCAAAAATTCTCTTTATTACAGTAGCAGCTTCAGAAACAGACACACATACACACGAGTGTCTACACATTTATGACAACACACTTACATATTTACAGATTCTCAAAGTGTGGTCATTCCAGAACACTGTACACCAATGGAAAGCCATTCAAACCTTTGCTAAGGCAGTATTTAGAAAATTCAGCAAATGTTATTTTGTCTTCAACATAGTCCCTTTGAAGATTCTTACCCTTCATGAGCTGTCACTATGACCAAGACTGTGTTTCAGAAAGATGTCTGAAACTTTTTACCTATGCTGGGCGGCAAGCCAGGACATGGCCCTTCATTGGCTGCTTTTCTAATCTGACTCAAAAGGTAACACAGGGCTGCTGCAGGCAGCTGAGCAAACAGACTGTAAGGCAAATTCCACCTGTGATCCAGCCAGGCTTCAAGTTCGTGCTCATATTGCAGTATTTTTTAGATTGTGCATTTTCTACTTAACCTTCAATTTATCAATTTATTTATGCTGCAGCTTTTCCCCATCTGTTTCACATACACATGATATCAAAATAGCCAGTGGGTTGGGACACGAACAGGTGAAAGGTCTTACCAAGAAATATGAAATTAACATTTTTTTTTTTTTTTTTTTTTTTTTTAGGTAAAAAGTCCATTTGGACTTGAGCCTGGAGCACTCGCCGTACACAGACACGATAAAGACAGCAGGCTCTCGAGTCAGGTGCCTGGGTTTGATTCCAGGCTCTGCCACAGAAGAGTTGAAATTTAAACGTTTCCTAGGGCAGCAAGCACAAACATCTGGAATAAGTTACGGAGGCTGTGTGCCATCATTCGACATGTGCTACTCTATAGCTGGATGGAAAAACACAAAGAGCCAGTGTTTCACCCCTCTAAAATCAGGCGAACCCCTTTGGTTTGAATCCTGGTACAGCCAGTGGTGTTCTTGAGACGCGAGACGAGCTTCTCAGCCTCCCAAGTGTCTCCATTTGTAAAAAAGATGCTGACGACAGTACCTTCACTCGCAAGGCTGATGTAAGGATAAAATCAGAGGACACACACTAGCGGCACGGACAGGTCGACTGCACCTAGGTAACGCCCTGCAAGTCTCAGCTATCATCAACATTACTTCAGGCAGGAAAGGGATATGAACACTACTTCGGAAAGACAGTTCTGGTACCAGTATTTAGGGCAGTCTGAGCAAGGAGAACCTACCAACAGTGGTACATGGTTCTTTCATATTGCACAGCTCTCAGGAACCACAAAGGTTTGCAGAATTCTACCCATCTTTCAAGAAATTGGTCAGTACAGACTTCTAACAGAGCAGAGACTATTAATATTGGATTACTTAATGTGAAATACGAAATTCACTAATTGCAAAAATATATTTAACATGAAAGTTGCACAAAATATTAAAAATCTTAACTTACTGTCTCAAAAAATATTTGCATCATACGGGCTCTCTTTTCTTCTGCACTCAGTCCTTTTTTCTTTGACTAAAACACAGAAGAACAAAAGGTAAACACTGCCTTTTTAAAACACTGGATTCCAAACAACTTTGTGTGAAACATTATCTGAAATTTTACACATGGCCTTAGCCGGTATCACAGGTTTGACACTCTCAGAACACGTCTAACTTCTAATTTTAACCACTGTGTGGCAAATCTCTATGGTAGGTGCTAAAGAGCAGGACGAGTAATTAAGACAACACCTGGCATTTTGCAAACATTAAATATTTATAAAATTGAACCAACGATAAAGAACTATATTTACCTTCAAAGGGTTTACAAATTCTCACAACCACTTATAACTGATGAACAGCTACATGCATAAATACCCAGGACAGAATGAATTAATTCCACCCTGGGAGGAAAAAGGAACCCAGAGGTGAGAGGGCCTTTAGTGACTCTGAGAAGGGGGCACAGTGTTGGGGGAGAACTTGGAGCAAACACAAGCAGTGTGAGGCTGGGGAGGAGAGTGGGGGGTAAGTGGCAGATTAGAAAGAGATGAGACCAGAATGAGATCGGATGAGGGTGTCTGAGGCCAGATCATGGAAGGCTCACTGGGAAGAGTGGCTTTTATTTTAAACAATGAAGAACTACACAGTAATATTAACAGTGGCACTAACATGAAGAGAAGGCTACAGGAAGGGAAAGCCTGTCCAAGTAGAAAAGTGGCCCCTACTTGGTTTTTGTTATTATGTAATACTCTAGGCCAATTTGAAATTAAGATAATCAATATGTAACTGAAATGTATAAAATATATTACTCTCTTTTGTACATAGAATATGTGCACATAAAACTAAAATCTCATTTATTAAAAAAAAAGCCAAATTTCAACTTAAAGATTTGCGGAAAAAACAAAAACAAAAACTGAAAAGCATCCTCTCCAGCTCTCTAATATGGAACTCCACTCTAACGTTTCTTGAGTGATATGCATTGTTCTCAAAAATTAGATGGGATCATACGAACCATTTACTTAAAAAGCAGGCACCACAAAAATGAAACTATTCAACCAAAACCTCCATGGCACCATGTCTATCTAGGAACCTGGGGAAAGAGAGCTGGATGGCTACTCCAACCTGACACGCTGCTTCTTCCCAAAACTTAGACACTCAGTAACTCATCTCAATGAAATGAGCCTGTATTTTTTGATAGCCATATGAGTAAATAAGGAGCCTCGAAATACGAGGCTTTTTCCTTCCTTGGTCAGTAGTTCCTCCAGCTCTGGCTGTCGATCCGCTCCTCTACTCACCCTTCTCTTTGATCTCATCTGCATTCATGGCTGTAGTTAACTTTAGAGTTGAGCCTTCCAATCCTCACATCCATGCCCGCGTGTCTGAGCTCCCATGCTTCAGTAATATGCACCTACCTGCCTGCTGGATGGACTTCAGATTCCAGTGCTCCAAACCCAATGTCCTCTCTAACACCTCCCCCAAAACCTGCTGTCCACATCCATGGCTGCCTCCATTTAAGAAGACCCACACACCAGAGGTATAGCAGTCATCCAAGTGCCTTCCTCTCTCTTACTCTACACCGAGCCGATCACCAGATTCCGTACTTACCTGTTTCTCCCTGGTCCTGTCAGCTCTGCCCTACCACCACTAACCCTGGCTTGGGTCTTCATGGTCGATCTCTTGCATACATTTCTAGTCACCTAACTATACTTGGTCTCACCTCTACTTTTATCTCTCACGAGGTGAAAAAGCAAATCTCACTGTCCCTTTCCCTTACTGAGCCAGAAGTATCCATGCACCCCTCGTTTTGTACAAAGGCCGCCTATCACCTGACTCCAACCAGCCTGTCTCAGCGGCTGCCTACCTCCAGTTTGGCCATAAACATATGATGAGCTAAGCAATTTGGGTTATAATTCAAAGACTACTCTCTACCCAGAGATGCTATACCTTCTGTGCCTTTTTAAAAAAATGTTCCTCCACTTAAAACACTTTTGCATACTTGAATTCCAGACAGTCTCTTAAAGCCCAGCACAGGGATGAGCTCACAGGCTAAGCCTGTGTCTCCATGACACTTTGATCAAATCATTTATTACACCTGAGAGATGAGTTCACATGTTTCCACTCAGCAGACTGAAAAACTTAGGAATATGAATTGCCTTGGCCTTCCCTGGTCTCTGTAAGCCAGTTAGATGGCCAGCCCTGAACTGCAGAAGCCCTCAGCTCCCAGGCTCCCAGTACCTGCCACATTTCCCAGTGTACTTTAGGGAAATCTGTGCTATCTATCTGTGGCCATGCTTGAGACAAAGCAGAGAAATCTCGGGGAGGCAAGCTCCAGAAAGTCTTGTAGAGCTGTTCACTGAACCTCGGGCTTCAAGCTAGACTTCAGGACTGCTTATCAGGCTCCCTTCACACTGGCCTCCTGCAGTATCTGAAAATTGAGCTTGTGATTCACACCTGCTTTCGAGGCTCATTGGCTCACTTCCTGATTCCAGTGGGTCTCAAACTGCCACACAGTAGAATCATCTCAGGTGCTTTTCAAAAAAGATGCGGGTGGGTGGCAAGACACATTCTGGATGAATTGGGCATGCATAGTTTAGCAGTCCTCTCCAGGTGCTTTAACCTGATTCCAGCGTTGAGAACTAGCTTTTCTCAAACCAGAATCTAGAGGACATTAGGGGTTCTTCAGGGACAGTAAAATTCCCTCAGGGCTTCAGACCGTGGCTGCTTTAGCAGAAAATATATCCTGAAGTTGTAGGAAAGGCTCCTAGGATTTTGGTAGCATAAACAGCTTCTGGAAAGTCCGTCAGACTCCACCAGATTGGCAGAGGCAGGCAAAGATAAAGAGAATCTTGCGTGGCAGAGCTTAGTTTTAAGGAAGTTCTCAACACTCAATAGCTTATAAAAAGTGACTCAAGAAATGCAGCTGTGCTGGATCATCCATGTACGGTGTTTTCAGACTGCTTACTATTAGCCTCTTTTAAGACCAGAAATAATTTTTATCATTATGGGAAGTATTATAGCTAGGATTAAAGACTACTATAAAAGGATGTCCTAGTACTATCTGCATTTAGAAACTTGAAAAAAAAAATGAACACGGACTTATTTAGTAACTTAAGATGAGGAAAATTATCCTGATAGTAGGATGTTCTGTTGGAGTCTGTGCCTAGATCCCCAATCCCCTAAACGGGTGCATGGCCAAGACTCAAAGGAATGAGACAAGCGGCATGGTCTTTAGGGCTGCAGGAGGAGTGAAACCCTTAGCAGAGCTCATAACCCTGCTAGCTGACCAGCTGACTGACCCTGGGCAGCCCATATTTAATAAGAACAAGCAAGGAATTGAGTGGACAATGAAGAAAACCTGAGCGGGACCTTGGGAGGGGTTCAAGGACCCCTCAGAGCAACAGAGGATGCTAATTAAGGAAAACTATCCAGAAACTCTCTAGCTGGCCTCATCTGTGGCCTGTCTTACTCCCTGAGGAGTCTCCTGGTTCTCAGTTCAATCATGCCTGGACCACATCACAGCTCTGCACATGTATTCAGCTTCAACACTCTCCAACAGAGTTCAAATTAGTAAGGACACTCAAAACTTTGCCTGAGGGCTATGAAGCTTCTAGATTAACCAAAATGTTAAACTGCTTTAACAACAACAATCTTGTGTCTAAGGTTTACAGAACTCCTAGTACTAGTCCTGTTGGTCAATCACAATGGATTTTTGAAAAAAGCAAAAAGATGTTATCTGCCTATCTGCTGTCCTCTGAGTTGCGCTTCTCCAATTCCAAAAATATGACTGGGCTCCTAACGGTTTACCCAACAAAACAGCTACTAACCGACCATGAAGAAAGAGGTTAAACTTTGTCTTTTACTGACATGACACGAACCTTTCCGGATCACGCACCTAAAGCGCACGTACTTATTTACGAAGGGTTTTGTGTCTCACGCTTCTCTATGATTAGATGCATCGTTAAAAAGGGGTAAAAGCACGTTAAATCACGCACAACAGAAGGGGATTAATGAGTAAAAAGATGAGATAAAAGAACAAATAGTTCTCAGTCGTCAGTTCTATTAGGCGCCAACTCTACAAAGCGAAATCTGCCAACACGAAGCCCGGCAACAGACTTGTTTGAACTCCGACCGAGTGGCTTCTCGGACCCTATCTCTTGCCCAGGTGACTGCCTTGGTAGTTTAACCACAAAGAAGCCGTTTTCAGTTAAAATGCAGCTGGGCGTGAGTCTGCACGTAAACACCGCGTCCCAGAGCCTCGTCCAGCCCGCTGAATGCGGATCCCAGCTCCTTTTAATCAGACAGATTTTACTGCCACTAAGAAGGTTAAAGGGAAAAAAAAAAAAAGGCACGAAACTGGCTCTCACATAGCAGGACGCCCACAGCAGGGGCTGTGGGACCACGGAAGCCGCCTGCCCGCCCTCCGGGGAGCAAAGCGGGGCGTCCCGCGGAGACGCCGAGGTCGCGGACCGAGGATGGCGGGGCAGAGCGGCACGCAGACTAGGCGACACCGCGAGGCGAGGCGGGGACACGGGACGAAGCTGCCCGGGACGCTTCCTCAGCTCTTACCATGGCGCGGACGGCGAGCCTTCCAGGGACGAGGCCTGCGTGGGGTGACGAGCGCCTTTGGTTTTGGCGCCAAACGCTCGGCGCGGAGCAGCGAGGGGAAAGCTGGTGAGCGGAGCAGCCACGTCTGCACGGCGCGCAGCGACCCCTAGCGGCTCCGCCGAGAGCCCAGTTGGGCGTAGGGGCGGGGTCTGGACTGGGACGGAGGGCGGGCTCGGATGAGGGGCGTGGCCTGAGCGTAGACCGGGACGCGGACCGAGGGCTAGGGCCCGGATTGGGCGGAGGGTGGATCCCGTCCAGGCAGGGGGTCGTGGGCGGAGAGCGAGCCTGGGGTGGGGGCCCGAGCTAGGGTCCGGATGGAGGGGCGGGACCTGGACCGGTACAGGGGAGGAACCCGGGCCGAGGGGCGGAAAGAAGGGCGCGGTCTCTTGCCGGGACCGGTCCCTGATTGGGCGGAGTCGGACCCGGTCTGGGGACGTGGCCTATTACAATGCCCTGCGCCTAGTGGCTGAGTGGTATTCATTTCTGTGTTGTCACTTTTTCTAAAAGGGAAGAATTGGGCCGTCGTGTTTACCCGAATTTCCTCAGCGCCGTGGCTATCTGGGTTAAGTTTGGGTTAAAAATTAGAAGGCTGAGGGCTGGGGATTTGGGTCAGTGGCATAAGTGCCTGCCTGGCAAGCACAAGGTCATGAGTTCGATCTCTGGTACCAAAACAAAAAAAAAATCCAGGAGAAACTGCTGTCTCTCCTTACTCCGGCTTGTCCGAGATGGAATATGCTCCGTTCTGCCCTAATTTCCTCTGCTTCTCCCTGCTAAAATTCCCTGCGTTTCCAGCTTTAAAAAGTCGGTGTGTGCTTGCTTCTCCCTTAGGGCTTTTTTTTTTTTAAGTAGACAAAATGATGTTAAAATCAGAAGGGTCAAAAATACACTACCTCATGAAAGTAGCTGCAGAGTCAGAGGACAAGACTTGATCCCTTACGCTGAAAAGTGCTAACAGTTTCCCCGAAGGTGTCAATCATATTGCATTACTCTGAAGTGTAACAGTTTTACTAAAAACATAAACAGTGGCATCAAGCAAGTCCTTGTTGCTTCTTACAAAAGTAGTCCTTGTTGCTTCTTACAAAAGCAGGAGAGGGCCCTGAGTTCCAACTGTTTTTTCCTAGAGTGAACAGGAGAGAGTTCTAAACTAGTAAATGGGTAGTCAATTAATACATGCTTAAATATGTACTAAAGAAAATAGAGTACTGTATTTTTCATGATTGGCCATTATATGGCTAAAGTGGGTGTTATAGTCAGATTAAAGAAAGGAAAAATAACTGCCGGGGTGACAAGTTACAAGACAGGTGTAAACGGTCTTCTCTTACTCTGTCCAGAGATTATCTTGTGTCTTCTATCCCATCAGGGCTAAGGTCCTCACCTGGCTCACTCTTCCTTATTCTTTAGACAGTTCAGTTGCCACCTTCAGAAAGTCCCATCTCCCAGCCCCATCTCACAAGTGGTCCATGAGATACCACAGAGGAAAGACATTTTCATGTTTCTTGCACCAGGCCCCATACATTGTACAGCTGTATTTATTTGTCTCACGCCACTAGACCAAAATTCTGTGCCAGCAGAGACTTCCTTGTTTACTGCTCTTCCCTGCTGGCTAGCACAGTAATGGAACATAGTGCACTGATATATACCTGTTAATGCTCCCATAGAAAAGTAGTCATAGTATTCCAAGTATCTGGTTTGTTTCTCCGGACTGTAAGCCACTGGATGGCACAGGCTTCGTGATTCATCTTTGTATAGCTTATGCTTACCTGAAAGTCTGGTGTACCACAGATGCTTATAGTTGTTCAGGGACTACAGCAATGAAAGAAAGAGCAGTAGCTTGATGAAGCTTGAATGTCGATTTGCTCTTGCCTGCCTCCCAATTTAACAGAACAGTCTGCAGCTTTGGTTCCTGTGCTCTCTGAAAAGAAACATTTCTGTCTTTCTGTGGAATGTGTTCCAAATCGATCATCTGAGATATATTAATATGTAGGCCAAATAGCCTGTGAAGTGCTCTAGTCTGAATCTGAAAACCTGTAAAGGCCAAGTAGCAAGGGCTAGGTGAACTGAAGTAGGATTTTATAATATTAATGTTCACAGTCATCAGTGATATTATGCTTGGTCTTTGAAATTTTGTTGTTTCACCTTTCTCTTTAAGACTAATTTAGATCATCTTTGTCAGAGATACAATCTATTCTGGATGCTTTTACCCCTCTAGAAAACAAACCATTATTCACAAAGGATACTTTACAGATCAATTAAGATAAATTTTAGGGTTCCACTGCCTCACAGCAAATACAAATCAGAAACTTAATGATCTAAAGGTCTATAAATACATCAGGGAAAATAAACTACATGCAAATATGCAGACATGCAAAACAAATCAACAACTTGTTTACAATCATTAATGTATAAAGATTCCTTTTTAGGAACACAAAGAAGGAGTCCAGTCAAAATTGTGGGAAAATCTGGACATAGTGGCACATGCCAGTATTCCCAGCACTCAGGAGACTGAGTCAGGAGGATCCTTGCAAGTTCAAAACCAGCCTGGGCTACAAAGTGAGTTCAAGGCCAGCCCGAACTGCATAATGAGACCCTGTCTCAAAAAGACAATAAATAAATAAACTATGCAAAAGATACTGGTCTGTAGGTGGGGCCTCTAAAATAGCACCTTTGACATTATGAATACAGATTATGTTTGAGAATGTTTACTTGAATTTGAGAAAGGCTGTGGAAACCAGTTTCTTTGAAAGTATACGGCATATGTATATTTAGCAGTGGGCTCTTCCTGAGATGAAGAGCCAGAGGATTATCCAGACTTGTTCTCTGGATGGTTAGAGTATGGTTTGAAATGTGTCACCCACTGCTTGATAAAACACAGACTGTTTTATTGGAACGAATTCCATGCAACTAAATTCTGGTACCTAAAGATAACACTGGTAGTAAGATCTCCCTTCAGTTCTTCCCTTGTTAGAAAACCGTCTGCCATGCCCATTGTAAAGTCTCCATCTTGTGATCCTTTAAAGATTACAAGGACAGTGATTTTTTAAAATCTACTTTTAAAAGTTTCTAAACATACATGCTATCCATGTATTAGGCCTTCCAAATTCCTGTTTCAGATACAGTACATCCTAAAGACTACCAGGTGGTTAGGAACATAACAGTTTTACTAAGCTTTTTCTCACTAGTATAAACAGTTTGGTTGAGGTATTGCTTGTTATCTTCTACACATTCTAGAACATTCCTACAATCCCCTTCACTCAGGGGAACCATCTGTTCAATAAACATTCACCCTGGAAATGGAGAAAACAAGCTTTATTATGGTTTGAGATTTTGTGCATGGTAAAGATACACACATGAATCTTGTTTCTCCTATGTTTTAAGACAGAATTAAAGTTTTATTGTAGACTAAAGCATCCAAAATACTGTGGTACGTATGTAGCTACGAACATACAAACACTTTGATGCACAGCATTCATCCTGTTCTTTAAATAGGCAGTCAGCATTTTGATTCATAAAAGAACAAACGATGAGAATATTTCAGTACCAATGTCAGAGAGCGCAAGACTTAGTGCTCTTTCTATACACAAAACGTATGAGACAGACCTAGAAAGATGGAATGTAAAAATCTGAAAAGCAAACGAAGCAAAAATCTTTCATAATCATACATAATATCCAAAGCCACAGAACTGAGAGTGATATAAATACTACAAGAATACACTCTGGTGATGACAGAACATTCCAATGTCATAAAGCAAATGCACTGAGTTTAAGGCTGTGTTGCTTTCAAAAATTAGTGGAAGTGCTGTACATTCATTGGAACAACATAGCCAATTTATTAATCTAGTCTAGAATATTAATCCATAGCTTTCATACATTCTCCACAAACAGACCACACAATCACTGCCGCACAATTCACCTTTAAAAGTTTTTAAGATTAGCATCATGATTTGTAGCTGTCATTTAAAACAAAACAAAAGAATTATTTATTTATATCAAACAAATCTTTAATGGGCACTTAAGTTTCCTTTATGGCAATACTAGATTCCTAGTTATCAAAAATATTAAAATAATTGTAAAGTTTAAAACCCTGCAACATTTACAGAAAGCAATAGCATTATGACTTTTTCAGTTCTAAGCAGAATTAGATACAGTTTGCACCCAATAGTTTCAATTTTCTCTTCTCTGACAATGTCTGATTTTTCGATTCTTCAACTAAAAACATTCCCCCCTGGGGGCTGGGGATTTAGCTCAGGGCATAAGCGCCTGCCTTGCAAGCAGGCAGTTGTGAGTTCAATCCCCAGTACCGATAAAAAGGAAAAAGACAAAAAAAAAAAAAAAAAAAAAATTCCCCCCTTTTTATAAGCTGGTTAATAGAGAGGAATAGAGCGCAAACGTACAAAAACATTTTTCTCACTTGAAGTAGTTTTTAGCAAGATTATCTGATGTTGACTTGCTAGATCCTCGAATTTACCCGGAAGGTACGACTACCAAAGCATTTGTTCCCTCCTTCAGTGGAAGGCTCCCCGACCCTTGCTAGCGTACTGCTATTCCAGTTAATTCCATGTGAGGACATACCCTGTATTTAGTAGTGGAAGCAAGTGTGCAATAGTTGCAAGGATCTGAGTTATTTATTTGCTTTGCTCTGGTCTTAGACTAAATGAAAGTAAGGAAACTTGGGGACTTGTTTAGTTATGGGGACCAAAGTTTCACCGAAGTACTACATACCATTTAAAAAAATAGCCAAGAGTCATGAATGCTTTTTGTTCACGTTGTTTCTTTCGGGATGGGCAAGTGACCCCCCACCTTCCCATGGCCAGCAGGGAAGGTCTGTGTGGGGAGAGAACGTACTGTCACTGACCTTTAAATGCTAACTGGCAATATTTGGTCGGAAGTGCCCAGGAGAAATCTGAATTTTTTTCAGCGCTACTTATCATGGATGTAGGAGAGGTTCTATACACTTGACAAAGAGAAATCAAACAATAATGGTAGTCCAGAAAAAAGCCACTTAAAATTAATATCCTTCTCAGTTTACCAGAAACCATTTTATAGAATGTGACAAAATTTCATCTAAATCTTGTCTATTTGTATCTTATAAGCAGCACTTTCCCCGAAAATATGCTTATTAAGGAAAACAGTATATGTACATATGTATTCAAGTGGGGAATGTATAACATACATGATTACATAAGTTTTGGGGAAAATATAGTATTTCCTGGAGTTCTCATAGCTTGTGTTTTAACACGAGACAATGGAACACATCCAAGTCAAGCTATCTATTCTGTTATTCCAATTTGTGACATGTAAAGAAAAAACAGCTTTGTGTTCAACCTGTTACTGAGATATCTAGTCTGATATGATGTCATGGCTGATTAGTTTATGAGTTAATTTTCAAGTTCACAAACATTCTGAAAAAAAAAGCCTCTTTAGGTAAATCATTTTAAAATCAAGGGCTAAGAATATAGCTCAGTGGGTAGTGTTACCTAGTATGTATGGAGACCTAGGTTTAATCTCCAGCACCAAACAAAAAGAAAAAAAAATCTGTGATAATTTAAATAGAAATGTGTTTTTACTCATGAAATAAACTAAATTTAAGCAGTTAAAAATATTTTCTTTTAAATAGTCCAAGAATTATCAAGGGTCTACCCTATTTTTCAGGTAGAACACTAGTAAGTAGCAAAATGAAATTTCTTCCCCAGAGTGTAATGTCCAAGGGGATAGGAATTTTTGTCTATTTGTCCCTCACTTTATCCCCATCACCTAGAAGTGTGATGAATATTTTTAAGTTCAAAGGCTTGGTCTACAGGTACAGCTCAGTATTTAAGCTTGTATTTAGTATGCATAAAGCTCTGGGTTCACCCCTGGCACTGAAGAAAACAAAAAATCAAACACTTATTTCATTAGCCTTTAGGAAACAATATCTTAGTTTAAATTCTAAAAATCAGAATTAGTAAATTTTATGACTTTGTCACTGACAGGCTTGAATATTTTAAAGTCTACACAAACAAAAAAAAAAAAAATACTAAGCCTAAACATTAATAAGAAACTTTTTCAGTCTTGATTTGGGCATAATAAATCTAATAGAGAACTGGAAGTAGCTAGACTTCCCTTCTAAACTTTAAAAAGTTATATAGAGAGAATGGCTACATTTAAATTAATAAGCAATAAACACATTCATATAATAATAGGTACAGGAAAAACTTTTTTATAGTACAGTTCTAAGGTGCTTTCGCTGAAAAAGATCCCAAGTCATTATGGAAAAATGTCAAACACAACACTATATTGGCAGAATTGAGCAGAAAACAGTGGAAACAGACCGAATCTTATTGTATAGTATCAATGACAGGGGAACAATTGACCAAATTGTTCATAACAGTCCTCAAAATGCGTGTACACTTAGTTTAAATTAAATGTAATTCAGCTTTTCAAATTTTGTTTTTCCTTCTCTCCTTCATTGCCTTCCTTCAAAAGCACAGAAAGTCATTCTCTGACTAGATGTCAGCCACCACCATCATTCCTGGAAAAGGGGCAAAAAAATTACACGTGCCTGAGGGCTTGCTCCGGATGACAGGTTTAAGTGTCACTGGTAAAGGAATGGGCTGAAGAATGGCTAGATAATGCTTCTGTCTTCCAGAGTGCTGCCTATTTCAATACACCGAAGATTCAGCTATATATATATGCATATATTATACATTCTATCTTACCCTAATCATGTATACATAGTCCCTTAATGCCTCTACTATTTAATAGACAATGATAAATAACCGTCACATGCCCTTACCTGTAATGCTCTCGAGATAACAGAACTTTGGTAACACTTGCTCTCTAAGGGGAAATCGTTAAGCAATCACATGCCTTTGGTTGACACCATCAGTCCTCCAAAGGGCTCCTTATGGCTCTCTGTCCTAGGATACCGGTGTCCTATTACATGTGCTGACATTCTGCAGGAGGTAAAGCTTTCGCTTTTGTGGAGTGGGAGAGGAAAAGATGCATGAAAAACGTGGCACATCAAATGGACTTTTCTCAATCACATTCCAGTACGTTAATCCAGAGCTTTTCATTGAATGTAAGGTAGCACTGCTTTTGTAATATAATTTTCAAAGTGTCAGGAATATCAGGTTTCCCTGAAAATGGACTTTGTTTCCTGATAACAAGGTGAGCAGGAAAGAGGTGAAAAGAACAAACAGATGATCTTTGAGCTAACCCTGAAAGGTTAGGAAATTTGCATTGATTCTTAAATGTGAGAGCCTGCTGATCAAAAGCAAAGGGATCTTGCAAGACAGCCTTAAAGTAATTCCTATGTGGTCGCTGACAACTCAAAAATGTCACAAGAGTAACACCTACTGCAAAAGTGAGGTTAGAAGATTCCCTAGGTCTTGGGACCTAGGTTAAAAAAAGTGTACAACGACAACAGGTTTTGTTTTTGGAAGCTCTGCACAATGGTGCCATTCACAGATTAACAAATATCTTTACATATGCTAGGACTTTTTTCTTTTAACTGTTTGTTTTGCAAAATTAGTTGAACTACATAAATCCCTGTCCTATAAGCCATAGTTCACAGGTGTAAAACTTTGCAGCTTTCAAAGATTCAGGAGACCTTTTGTTTAGTTTTGTTGTTTAAATCCTATGGGTGAATTCTGGAAACTGGATAAGCAGTTTTTAAATAAATTGTTACATTCAGAAATAACCTTGTAAAGTTCACTGAAGATTCCTTCTAGCATGAAAAGTCTGGTTTATAATCTGGTCCCATGTCATGAAATCCATTCCAGTTTATAGTGCAAGACCTTTCAAAGGGGTGTCCAACTGGGAGCCATTACTGTAAGTATCGGTAGACTTTGAAACAGTGATTTCCAGAGTCCGCAACCACAACATGACCATCTGAAGTTAGGGCCAGGCCTTGGGGGCCGTAGAGTGGGTCAGCAGATGTGTTAATGTAGGACAAAAATGATCCGCTGCCGTCAAAAACCTGTAAAAGTGTGAAATATGCTGAGATGTGTTAGAAAACCTGTGATGCCAATGTCTTTCACATAAAGAGCACACATAACCTCCTAGGTTTGCTCAGGCCTCGGTCATGTACACAACCCTTCTGTCTGCTTCCACATCCCTCACCTTCTTACCTCTGCTCCTGTGCCCAGGGTCACTGATACAGGATGTGCCAGGGCTGCCAGGTTACACTTCGTTCCTACAGTGCTCACATAGGGGTTGGGTGGGAATGGCACTAGAAGGTGAATGATGGGCCGGGGGTTTAGCTCAGTGCCGTAAGTGCCTGCCTGGCAAGCGCAATGTCATGAGTTTGATCCCCAGTACCAAAAAAAAAAAAAAAAAAAAAAAAAAAAAAAAAAGAGAAAAATGAATGACCCTAGGTTTTCATGCTGAGGCTTTTTTCCTTCCAGCCTCACCCTCCTTTCATATCCAGTTTTATGGGAGAAAAAGGCAGCAGCTGGGGAAACCATGGGAGAATGTCCCTGAGTCATAATATGCAATGATGAAACAGAGATTTCTTTTTTCTATTTTCAGAAAAAAAGGTTGAAGAAGTCCATGGCTCTACACATGCGTCTGGAGATGAAATGGTCTCCTTTTGGTCTATTAGCTTCTACTATGATGAAATAAGAGGGACATGGTCAGGGTGGTGCACTTCTCCCCCTCTGTAAGGCTTGGCTGGTGTTGTCTGACCCTTCTGTTGGCCTGCATGGTGTTTAAAGGTAGCGTCACTGGGCAGGTTCCATGAGGTTACAGCTTAGCAGCTCTGGTCCTCTGTGGACCTGCTCTAGAACTTAGCTGCCTGCCTGGGGGCTTCTCACAACATCAGATGCTCGTGCTCCTCACGAGACCCAGAATTCTTTCAATGAACATTAATGTTGGGATAAGTAAACAAGGTAAATATGGAGGTGAAACCAAAGCCTTTTGTGTAACTTCTGTAGCCGTGGAGCAATGGTCTCTATCTGATTTAAATGAATGAAACACTGAATGCCCCTAAATTTAGCCAGTGCCCTGGGGGTCCCCGGTGCAGGGAGGAAAAGGGCACCATGGCTAAGTGTGTGGGTTCGGCCATGCAGCTGTGAGCACAGAGAACAGGAGTGCAGACTTCCATTTGGGGATTTAAAAAGATTTGTTCTCCGTATAGAGAATAAATCCAAGGGGCGAGGAGTCCTGGGGGTTGAACCCAGGGCCTTCACACTGAGCTACATCCCCAGCCCTTTTCATTCTTTATTTTGAGACTAGGTCTTACTGAGTCACTGAGTTGCTTAGGCAGGGCTCAAACCTGCAATCCTCCTCCCCTGGTCTCCCTGGGGTCACAGGCATGCACCATCACATGGGGCTGTGTAAGACTGAAACTTTTATGCAGCAGGGATCCCTTTGGCAGCCTGGCAACAACTGTGGATCCCCACTCAGAATTGTACTGCAGTGCTTTCCCCCACCCCAGAATGCAACCCATTCTACTGTTTTTCAATATGCAACCAAAATCCCAAATGTCATCCCTGATACCATTATTCCTAAATGACGAAAACAAATGTGTCGTAGTTTTATTATATTTTTAATTATCTTTTTACTTTGAGGTAATTATAGATTTGCAGGAAGTTGCAAAGATAATGGAAGACCTCTTTGTCTTCATCTGGTTTGACCTGATGGTTATGTCTTCTACAATGACACCGTCATACAAAACCCCCACGTGAACTTTTGAGACGTGTTCGGACAGCAGTCAAGTTATCACATGTGTCTCCGTGTAAACATTCTCATCTCACAATCAATACATACTATTCCATCACACGAGCTCTCTGTCCTGCTACCCCTTGATAGTCACACTAGAGCCCCCAAACTTCCCCCACCCATTCCCTTCACTACCCAACACCAACTATTTTCCTTCTCTGTAATTTTGTTATTTTGACAGCATCACATAAATTGAACCATATAGAAGTGACCTTTTCAAAGTACCTGTTCCACTCAACAGAATGCCCTGCAATGTACCTAAGTTATTAAGTGTATTATTAATTTATTTCTTTTAAATGCTGAGTAGTTTACACCACACTTTATGTAGCCATAAACCAATTGATGGCAAGCTTGGCTGTTTTCAGGTTCTGACTATTACAAATACATCTTCTATGAACCATAATGTACTTGTGCTTCCATGAGTTTTTCTTTCTCTGAGATAAATGCCCAGGACTAATTGCTAGGTTGTATGGTACCAATGCTTAATTTTTTAAGAAATGCCAAACTACAGTATTTTCAAAGTTGACTTACTATTTAATTCTCACTAGAATATGTAAGATTTAGTTTCTCTACATGCTCACAAGTATTTGGTATTATCAATATTTTAAATTTTAGTTATTTAAACTAGCATGCAGTAGGATCTCATCATGGTCTTTAATCCATGCTTCTCTAATGTCTAACAAATTGAACACTTTTTCATGTATGTCTTTCCTCTTAGTAGTTCTTATTCATTTTCTAACTGGACTGTTTTGTTATATTGTTGAGTTCTGAAGTTCTTTACATATTGTAGATGTAAGTCCTTTGCCACAAATGTAGTTTGTAAATATCTTCTCCAGTCTGCGTATATTTTTATTTTCTTAATGGAATCTTTCACAGAGCTAATTTGGATAAAGTTCAATTTATCAATTTCTCTCTCTTTTGGATACAGTTTTGGTATCATGCCACAAAAAAAAAAAAAAAAAACAAAAAACAAAAAACAAAAAAAAACTGTTTACCAAGCTCTATGTCCCAAAGGTTTTTCTCTTAAAACTTTTTAAAAGTTTATCTTTACATTTAAAAATGTGATCCATTTTGAGATCACATTTGGATAAGGTAAGGTTTTACTTTGCCTTAGTGGTTGATTAATTACTGTAATTCTGTAGTGTAATGGACATAAATGACAGTTTGGGATGTCTGCAACAACTGTAGTCTGATACAAAAATTTCTGTGGTTTTTCTTGGTGACAAAGTTGGAGTGTGTGGTTGTTGCCTATATTCATAACTAAGGGAAGTAATAATTTTCAGTTATGTAATAGCAGAGATACCAACAGATCTCTTGAATTCCATCCACAAACCCTTGAGAGTCTGTGTGAACTATGTTGAAAGAAAACCTAAATTAGAAGATTTTATCCTGGTAATACATTGCTTTTTGTCTACTCCACCTTCCATAGTTTGGTTCTCCTGGTGAGACTTTCTGTGGCCTTATGATCTACCCAATGGAGAAGGGAAAACATCCCAGTCTGGGAAACCGACAGTTGTTCACTTCTGACAAATACTACCACACCTAAGCACACCCATGAGCATTTTACTGTACCTGGATCCTGCTGTTTCCCCAGTCGGCCACGATGATGTTCCCGTTGGAATCCACGGCCACACCTGTTGGTGCATTAAACTGCCCATTGCCTTCCCCGTTGGAGCCAAACTTCAACATAAATTCTCCTTCCTGATTAAATACCTATGAGAAATATTTTAAGATTATTCAAAGTTAAAATAGTTGATCCAACTTTACACACTGAAAAAAAAATCTGAACAGGTTATTCACAGCAAGAAATGTGATTAAGACACTCTGATAAAAAAGAAAAAACTACAAACCAGATCCCCATACATTTTGCTATATATAAATATGATTTATCATTTGCTAAATCACTCTTCTTTTTTCTGTAGTTTATATCTAGTTGTTAAATACTTAGTGAAATAAAAGACTACATATATAAGGCAGTACAAGTAGGCTATAATTTTCAACAATATTATTCTTTCTACCTTTAAGTAGTTAATTTTCAAGCATGAGCATTATATGTCTAATTGGATGGATGGTCATTCATTGTGGATCTAATAAGAATTTTTTGTTAGGTCAGATACTTAGAATTTACTATCATTTTACTACATCAACATAACACAAGAAAGAGGCTAGATTTTATGTACACAACTGGGGAAACTCAGTGTGTGTGAGGGAGAGAGTTGAATAAACAGAGGACTTTTTAAAGTCAATTCTCAGAAAGTACTTTAGCTAAAATAGGGCTTATATAATTCTCAGGTTTTGATGAATAAATCTATGAAAGTTCTTAAAGGTGAAGCAGTAAATGAACTTTTTTTTTTTTTTTTTTGTCTTTATCGTTTTTATCGGTACCAGGGATCGAACTCACGACCGTCTGCTTGCAAGGCAGGCACTTATGCCGCTGAGCTAAATCCCCAGCCCCAGTAAATGAACTTTTAAACAAATTCTAAGACTAGGTGTGTCAAGTGATGGGTTACAGTGGTAAATTAAACATTTATATATATATGTATCAAATGCAGATTATGAATTCAGAGTATTACTACTTTGATGTATTTGATAACAACACTATAGGAAGTATAGTTTTATTTTGATGCTTCTGGTGATACTTGATGGCTCTAAAATGTCTCTGTGACATTATTTGACACATCATTACCATGATGCCTAGATGCACAGGAACTGTCCTTAATGAACTCAATAGTACTGGGGACCAGGCACTGAAGAGTGTGGAATCTTCAAACATGGACCTAAGAAAGTTTACTATATTTCAGCACAGATCTAACTTGAGAACAATGTCAGGACCTTTAAGGACCGTTTGGTTCTTTAGGAAAGAAGACAGGAATGCCTGGCTTTTACTAAGAAGCCATGTTTTAAAATTTTTCAAGTGGCTGGGGATTTAGCTCAGTGGCATAAGTGCCTGCCTTGCAAGCACGTGGTTGTGAGTTTGATCCTCAGTACCAAAAAAAAAAAAAAATAAAAAATAAATTAAATCAAAATTTTTGAAGTGATGTGCCTGTAGCAAGTAATAAGAGACAGTGTAAGCATCTGAAAATTTTGCTTCTACATTTAACCCACTGGTTTTTAAAATGTAATTTTTAATCCATCTTCAATTATACCAGTTTTTAATTTAGAAATTGGGGACCGGGGCTGGGGATTTAGCTTAGCGGCATAAGCGCCTGCCTTGCAAGCAGGCAGTCATGAGTTCGATCCCTGATACCGATAAAAACAAAAAAGACAAAAAAAAAAAAAAAAAAAAAGAAAAGAAAAGAAATTGGGGACCATGCATTCTATTCAGTTCCCTGGCTTTCCAAAGTCTGTATGCCCATATTAAAAGCTGCATTTTGAAGCAGAAGCAAAATCTACTCCGGCAGATTAACTCCCTTAAATCCTGAATATCTATGGAAGTTATTTTCTCCCCACACTAATTCCTCCATACAAGCAATTAAAAGTTAGCAACAGTTAATGTATAATAAATTATACCTTGACAGAATGATTATGGAAATCTGTAACAATAATCTCATTGTTGCTATTTACAGCTGCAAAATGAGGACCTGCAATAAAGATGAGAAAAAATACGTGATGACTATAACAACAAAAATGATTGTAACATAGCAAGTACTGTAACAAAAACCAAACTTAGTATGTTAATTATTTAAGCAAGAACCAGGGACCTGGTCCTTGTCATATCACTCAACATGACCTCTAGTTCCAGAAATCTTGGAGCCTGCACTGTTCTACACTTAGGAGTGTCTCCTCTGATTTCTCCCAAGCTAAAGTCTGAGCAGCCCTGATGATGTGGGAAAAGCAGGAAAGCGCCAGGATTCGCCATCTGCACTGCCATCTGAAGTCACAGCGGTCAGCTCCTTTCAATGTACGGTTCTTAGAGATTCTCAGCTTCTGCTGAGGAAAGACGTGGCAACTCTTAGCATTGGGAAAGAGACTTCAACATGTAATTTTTATTTTTCTAAAAAGTTGAGCAGAAAAATCCATACTCAATCATTTCAGGTGACATTCAGAACCTGGCAGGACAAAGGACTTAAGACAAAGCACATAGAAATGAATGCAAATTAATGTTAAATACCCAAAGCATCATAATGAACTGTGTGCAGCCTCTTTCAGATGTGAAAACTGTCTCAACTTGTAACAGCAGCACATCAAAAAGAGAGAGGAGATGGCCCGGCCTGTGAATATTCTAAACTCTCGTTCTCAGAATAACCTAGAAGGGTGAACTACATTTCCATGTCAATAAAGCCGCTGCTATGGGAAACAGGAGTTACTCCATTTTTCCTTTACAAATGCATATCTTACTTAATATGCATTTTTGAAGATGAGGCTTCTGTGCTGTAAGTGATCACCAATAAACACCAAGGTCTTCATTGTGCATTGGGCTTCCTGCCGGCAGAGAAACCCAGATGCATCTATCTAGCCATGCTTTCACTGACATCCCAGCCCAACATCCTTCCTCCCAGCGCCGGGCAGCAGGCGGGGGTATGGTATCTTCGTCATGCTCCGGCCTCATGCAAACGTGAGCAGAGGAAGCATAAAAAAGGGGGTTTACATATTACCATCGAGTGTACCTGCAAACTGCCTGTCCCCATTCCCTCGGCTACCGAACTTGGTGACGATTTTCCCGTTGGGCTGAAAGATGAACACACAGCACGCCTTGTTGTCCACCACGATTATGTGCCCGTTGCGGTCCACAGAGACTCCTTTAGGGCCCATCAGCTTTCCTGATCCAATTTTTGTCTGTTAGAAACAAGTATAGAGATTGAGGATGGATACCAGGCATAAAACCCCGCAGACAGGAAGCTCCACACTTTAGTCTATGGTTATAAATTACTGAGATTAGGATTTGATCCTTTAGAACAAAAGGGACACACATTTCTTTGAAAGGGAACACTGATTTTTTTGGCAAGGAAATCTGGTGGATAGATTTGACTCTGGCGCTGCAATCTAACCCAAAGATCAAAGAGGCTACAACATAATAGCAGGTAAAGAAGTGGCAAATACTCTTTTTTAAAAATTTTTTGAGGCAAGGTCTTGCTACATAGCCCAGGCTGACCTTGAATTTACAGCAATCCTCCTACCTCAGTTTCCTAAGTTCTGGGGCTACAGGTATGTATACTACCACACCCAGCTGAGAAATGGTGAAGTCTTTCATGTCCATAGAGATCAAAAGGATTACTGGTACTCTGCTTAGTACTACCTAATATTATGAAAAGTAGTAGTTATTACAAGATGACTCAACCATATAATACCAAATGGGTAATTATCTAGAATTTAAAAAAAGAAGAGGTTTACCTCTATTCTATTATGTAAGCACAGCTAGGGCAGATCTAAGAGAACATCTTACATGATGAGCCAGAATTAATTTTCCTTCCACCTCCCACCTATCACTCCTGGTTGGGGTGTACAGTGACTGATGCTACCATGTGAAACAACAATCACTGTATTGGCCTGATTGTGTGGCTCGCGTGGAAAACAGCAAGCAAAAATATTTTAGACCTTGTCTTTGCAACAGTCAAATGAGAGTATTTAACTGAACAAATAGGTCCTTGAGTCTGAATAGGAAGATGTTTTAGAGAACTGTGGACAGAAGGGCTGCCATGTTTGTTCTGTATTTTTTCTGATCACAAGAGTTTCCCGGAATGGCTAGAAGATGTGAGTTAGGAGGGGAGACTGAAAGGAGAACAAATTAAGGGAGTCAGAGAGCAATGAAAACTGGACGACTTGGCGTAAAAGCAAAGAATCTGGATTGGCTTCAACAGGATGTGTTTCTTAGCACCTGTTTAATTGTACTGAGTGCCACCAAAGAAGAAAAATGAGAGAACACTCTCCTGGTATACAGCGGTGATATCAGCACTTAGAGCAGCTCTCTTGATGGTACTGAAGTGTTTTCACTTGCTCTCCTTTTACCATTTGGGTTCTGATCATCAAAAAGGTGGTGCTGAAACCATGCCACAATCATTCTCCCAGTCCTCTAGGGGGCGCCAGTGTTCTTCAGTATTCATTCCAGTAATTAGCGCCAGCACTCAAGAATTAAATTCTTTAAAGGAGGACTATGACAGGCAAAGACTACTGAACCAGTGATTGTAAAACTCTTTAATTCAAGGAATCCTTAGATTTTTCTCTTAGATATCAGATTCCTGCCTCAGTATATGAAACCTACCTCCCGAATTTATGGACAGATAATGATTTTAAGAACAAATGGGTTGTCTCCAGACTACATGAGCACTTTCAAGAGATCACTAATAAGTTCTGTCTTCCCACTGGAGCTGTCCCATTTGGATAATACAACTATAAAAGCACACAGGAAGGAAGTCAGAGATGCTGAAAGGCCAGAGATCCTTATGCACTAGTGACCCGTAGTGTTTATGGAGCTGTCAGTTTCCGTGGAACGAAAAATTCAAGGGCCACTGAAGAATTGCATACAATATTATAGAAGCAAAAAAGACAACTTTTTACCCCCTCCCTCCACGCTGAAAAATTGCTGCCTCATATGGACTCTAATTTATGGATTAATAATTATATAAGTAACTCATCCCGTAAAAGCTAAGAGGGGCCCATAGCAGTCCAAAGACTTAAGGATAACATAAACCCCTGTGATCAGAGGCTGCTCATGCCATCCTTAGGATTCTAGGACAGGTTTATTAAATGCAGCATCTCCAAGCCTTTGGATCAGGACATGATGACCACCAGGAACCTGCATGACATCAAGAATACCAAATCCCACCTGGTCAAACAGACTTCTCTTTCTGAGTACTTATGACAGGCATGGAAAATAACATTTCTCAGATATTTATTTTGCATGAGGCACATATGGAATCCGGAATGAAACCTCATTTAGTTTTTACTCAAATCCTATGAGACTGATTTTTTTTAAAATCCAAACTTTAAATATGAGACTATCAAAGCTCAAGGAAATTAAAATATTTGCCAAAGGCAAAACAGTTTGTAAGCCACAGAGGTTCCAGTGAGTTGATCTGAGTTAAAATCCATGCTGAAACCCGAAACTGAAACAGAAGTCTCTAACAGGCAGGATAGCGGGAATGTGGATGGCACAGTATATACATCTTCATATAAGATGCTTGATAAGTTATCACGTGTTCGAAATGGGGCTGGATGGTAACCATTCACTGATGACCCCTAGCGGTTTCCCATCACCACTGGGCTCTCCACTCATGGAAGAAGCAGAAGCAGTCAGGCCAGGCGTCAGAGCACTGGTTATCAGCCCATCATGCTGTCAGGAGAGAGTGGGAGGTGGCCCTTGTGACAGCAGCTCTTGAGGGGGTACTGGGATCCTGGCCCCTTCCTTCCTTACTTTTCCCCTGGCTGTCATAAAGTGAGTGGTTTATTTCCTCTGCCACGTGGTCGACCACGCTGCATGGCATCATCACAGGCCCAGCCCAACATGGCCAAGCGACCGTGGACCAAAGATTAAAAAAAATGAGGCAAAATAAATCTTTCCTCCTCCCAAGTTGTTGTAGCTACAGAAAGCTGACTAATGCAGAAGCCATTTTTCTATTTCCATAAAGATGATGCTGGGGTAACAGCAAAGTGATCAAATAGTTAAACAGTGAAAACACAAACTGTTCTTTCTGATGAACTTACAGAGCCGTATAGTTATCAATCTTGTATTCACACACACACACACACACACACACACACACACACACACGTGTGCCTAGGTATAACCTCTTTTCTCCTATCCTAGTTGTTCTTTCCTTTTGAGCGCTTTCTTTCCCTTTCATTTTCACAATATCGGTTGTACATTTCCCCTCCAAATCTTATCTGACATTCTTTAATGCTATGCTTTTAGGTTGTACCAGACAATGTGTGGCCTGCATGCATCGTTATCTGGCCTTCCTCGTGTATTCCTCTTTTCCTCCGGGAGTCTGTACATTTTTAAAAGCTGGGAGCCACGTCTTATGATTTGGTTTTTCTGTGGTCATCCATCGCAGCCTGTGAGTGACAGCCTATAGGTCAATGTGGGAATTACAAGCTACTTCTTTATAACTCTTTCCAAAAAGGTGGTTGTTTTACATTGAGTTGAGCTAACGAGAATAGTTTTCCTCTGAATCTGATGGTTTAAAGAAAAAAATAAAGCAATTGAGCAAACAGACTGCTTTATAAAATGAAACAACCTTTAGGAGCTACATGAGCAGGTTATAAAATTATTGTTACTCTCGTATCATAAGCCTTGACTATCAGTCTTTGTATATTGTTGAATATTGGACTGGATTTCAAAAAAGAGAACAACTTCATCCTATGGTTCTCGTTCCTTTGCTCTCATTTAGCGGTCAGCAGGTAGTTGATCTTACCTTAAACTTCCCATCCGAAGAGAAAATGCTAACCCACTTATTGTCATAGTCTGCGATGATTATGTCCCCACTCGGGTGCACGGCCACTCCTGTGGGCCGCTGGAGCTGCCCAGGGGAGCGGCCTCGGATCCCAAAACGACTTTTGAACTGGCCGTCATTGGAGAATATCTGCAAAGCAAGTGCACGGGGTTGGAGTGCGGACACAGCACGCAATGACAGAGGCAGAACCAGCCAGCACTCGATACCTGTACCAGAGTTCAGAACACGCCAACTCTGCAAAGCAGAGTCTACACATACAGCTGGAAGCTGCTTTCCTTGCACCATGTACCTTAGATTTAAAGTAGAAAAATATGCAACTACGCCCATTTTATCAGTAGAAGTAGATAAAGGTATAAAAGGAAGGGACCTACCTGCACACACTGGTTGTTACTGTCTGCAATTAATATCTTTCCACTTGTTGACGCAGCTACCCCCTGAAGGTTTGTAAACTCTCCTTTATTTCTTCCTTTGGTACCTAAAAATAAATTGAGAAATTTAAGCCCTAGAAGATGACATCTCTCAGTTTCAGCAAAAGAACAATTCAAGCTTCCTCAGGTAACCTGAGAATGATTTTTTCCCAATGTAAGGGTTCTAACACAGGGTCTCTACCACTGAGCTGCGTCCCCAGAGCCCTGCACTGCTTTGCAACTATACTTGAAACAGGAGAATCCTCCCCCGCATGACTAAACGCACAGCTATTTAGCATCAAGATCACTAAAGTTTATGCAAACCCACTTTTTTTTTTTTAGGCAGGTGCCAATCCTAGTATATTTTGGCATGGCTTTGGCCCTCTGGAGTGTCATGGTAGTGAAGTCCTAATGCCCGCCGCATTTCCCCACTTGACAAAAACACAAGATCTGGACCTTCAACTCTGGGAGACCACGCTGTTGTCTCTCAAGTGCATCAGAACACAGGATCTTCTTTTACTTCACCCACACAGAAACTTGACATCATGCCCGAAGCACTAGTGTATATGCTTTACAAATGGCATATCAGGTCAGGGCATGGTAGGGTGAGCCTGTAGTCCCAGCCTTACTGGAAGGCTGAGGCAGGAGGATCACTAGAGCCTATGGGTTAAATGAAGGCTGGCCTAGGCGACACAATGAGACTCCGTCTCCAAAAAACAAAAGCAAAACAAAAAAAGTGTGCGTATGTGGTAGCAGTAGAAGACAGGAGAAGGGGTAGATGACTCTTTAAGGAGGTATCTTTTTGTGGTTAATGTATTCAGTTTTAGTTAACAGCCGGACAACAAGTACTGCAAAACAATTTCACTATGTTCCACTTAAAAGTACTTTTTTTTTCTTTTTTTGGTATCAGGGATCGAACTCACGACCTCATCCTTGCCAGGCAGGTGCTTAAGCCACTAAGCTAAATCTCCAGCTAAAAATACTTTTAAAGAGACTAGGGATCTATCTAAGACCACTTAAAAATAAAAACTTGACTGGGTGTGGTGACACCCACTTATAACCCCAGAACTGGGGAGGCTGAGGCAGGAGAACTGTTATGAGTTTGAGGCCAGACTGACTGTACTACATAGTGAGCTCTGTCTCAAAAAAAAAAAAAAATAAATTAGTAAATAAAATTGAAAGAAAACTTACCAAACATATGATAAAGAAAAGCACAGAATTGAGAGAGATGAGAAACTGCGAACAATCAAAGAAGCACAATTAGAAAGCCTTCCGACCTGGACAGCAACGGGGGACAGGTGACTCTGCAGGGATGGCCTGGGCTGTGGTGCACTGGCTCCTGTGACCCACGCAGCCATGGCTCGGAGGGCAATGGTGGGGGCAGAAACACTGAGTGCAGGGCCGGGGGCTGGGAAGACCCCCACAGAGCCCACGAGCACTGACTTATCTCCTGCTGCTCCAGAGGAGCAAACACCGTCCACAGTCCACCAACATTTAACTTACATCTCGCTGAGGACAACGCTTACCCTGCTCAGAGACTGAGGGAATGGAGGGAACAGAGAACACAGAACGCTAGAGAACTTCATAAGGTGGTGCCTCATCCAAAGGGTACCCTCTCCTTCTGAAAATAAGGAGGCAGTGGGGCTGGGGGTTTAGCTCGGGGGCACTTGCCTAGCAGGCGTGAGGTCATGAGTTCCATCCCTGGTACCAAAAATAATAAAATTAAATTGAATTTAAAAAACAGGAGGTAGTGTGCTAAAAGAATGGGAAAATATAGGAGGAAAAAAAGCAAACAATAAAACAACTCATTAACACTGTTGTGCCTTGTGGAAATAAAACCACATTGATAAGCATTGACAGAAGTGGGGAGCAGTGGCATTTGGGGAGGAAGTCAGTTGGACCCCATGGTAGCACTATTCAGAACCAAGAGAAGGAAGACCCTGTGTCCAACTGAAATGCCCGCGAGAGGCTCCGTACCACCAGTACCTGGGCACCAGCACCACGGAGATCTGCTGCAAGGGAAAGCTGCAGGAGAGGGTTCTACAGTGGCCGCTGAGCTTGAGGGTGACTGCTGGTCACACTCTTGGTCTCAAGTTAAACGTGCTTTGTGTCTGCTGCCCCATTGTAAATAAAATCACAGAGCTGGAGGGATGTCTGTTTGCCTAATGTTGCTGATATCTTTTTAAAAGAGGCAATATGAAGCAGGCTCTGCCATTTCAATTTTATCCCTCACCGTCTGATGCTGGGAATTAAATCCAGGGCTTCCACATTGAGCTATATCCCCAGCCCTTTCTTATTTTTTAAGGCAGGATCTTACTAAATTTCTAAATTGCCCAGGCTGGGCTGGAACTTGTGAACCTCCCAGACTACCAGGATGACAGTCTGCATGACTATACCCAGCTCACCACTGAACAAAACAAAAAACATAATAACAAAACCCAAAACAAACTCTGACAGCACATCAGAATGACAGTCTGTTACAGTCTAGATCTAAATCATCACACTAAAGCCTCCTGTGTTTGAAAGGTGACTGGCTCATGGGCACTGCACCCTCCGTGGGTTCATCCACTGTGAATTCACAGCTGAGTGTGCCATTGGGTGGGGGGAGGCCTGGCCAGAGGCAGCTCATTGGGGCATGGCCTGGAAGGGAGCTTCCCCTCCCTGGCTCCTCCCCTCTCTCTCTCTCTGCTTCCTGGCAGCCATGAGGTGAGCAGCTTTTTGCTGCTAGGCCCTTCAGCCATGCTGGTTCTGCCTTGGAGTGACTGGAACCATAAGCCTAAGTAAGCCTCTCTTCCTTTAAATTGAGAGTGTCTGGACTATGACACCATCTTACTTGTGAAGATTAAAGGACACCACTGGCATGTTCCAGAAGAAGAACTCATACCAACTATCTTTGCTAGCGGTTGAACTACAAGATTTTCTGTGCTGAATACTGATGCAGAGATACTGCATATTGTTCAGACATCTGAGTGTTTGTATCTCACAATGAAAATTTAGAAAGGGAAGTTCCAGAAGTTAGAAATTATTTGGGATCATGCTTTGCTTCAGCTTTTTAGTAAAAATTCTATTTAGTCTATTTAAAAAGGCTCCATTTTTATCTCGAAGGTATTCAAATTTTAAATGAAAACCACTCCTTTCATAATGACTTTAAATATTAACACCAAATGTACATAGTGCTATAAAATCTTTACCTGTGTGTTTTGATATAAATGATTTCATTTGATGGTTATCTATTAGTCAATAACATGAATAGCTTGAATTTTAAAAGTTATTATGAACAACTTGACAATAATTCCACAAGAGAAAAAAAATTTTTTCCCCAGATATTAAACTAACCTAAGCACAAAATAAATTTTAAAGCTAATAGCTTCTTACCCATGTTTTTCCTGGTCACTTTCATCTTCGTGAGAGGCAAAACTTTAGATTGACATTGGGGATCAACCTATACAGATCTTCTCTCACTACCCACTATAATATGCAAATCATTGCTAAATAAAGCAAGATACTTTGAAAGAAACAATGAAACAAGATATGACCCAACTAAATACAAGGTGGAACACAGCATCTTTAACAAAGCTGCAGCTTAACAGATGTTTGTTGATGAGTAAGTGCATGAATGAGTTATTAATAATTGGCAGTCAGTTACAATCCACGTGACGTCTTGGAAAGTGAAATGCTCAATAATATTTACAGTGTTTTGTGTAAATTAGCTCATGTGTTTCCTGTAATAATCCCATGAGTTAGCAGGACAAATATTACCATTCTTGTTTTATAAATGAGAAAGTTGAAAATAGAATTATCACAAAGATAGTGACAAAGGAAAGAATAAAACTTGGCTTTCCTGACCCTTTAGATAATATTTCTTCCAACACACAGATAACTTCTAACTAGATTTCAAAATACCATGTTTTGGAGGTAAGGAGAATTGCCCTCGGAGCTCACATGAATGATTTTTTCTCTTAAAATTTTAGAAAACTCCATTTCTTGTCACACAACATTTTAACTGTCCATATCCTTCACTCAACTATAAGCTCCCTGAAGGCAGGACCAACATCTGCCCTGTTCACTGTCCCTACCCTATAATATGGAGCTATAGCTAGGATTATGAATGTCCCAAAAACCCATAATGATGGACCCCCATCTCCGGCACCTTTAGGAGGTGGAGCTTAATGAGAAGAAGTTAAATCAGTAGGCTATTGGGATTTTGGCCTCTTCCTCCTCCTGTGTCCTTCCTGGCTGCCATGAGGTTATCGGTTGCCTCTGCCTCCCCACCATGATGTTCTGCCTCATCACAGCCACAAAAGCAATGGGCCAAGAGAACTCAGTTTGAAACCTCCAAAACTGTGAGGCAAAATAAACCTTTCCATTTTTTTAGTTGATATCTCAGGGAGTTTGTTATAGTAACAAAAAACTGACAAACACATACTTAGGAAAAATAGTTTGAATCTTTGTCCCCTTGAAATGTAAGAAGAGCCCAAAGATGAGATTCTTGAGGAGTAGGGGCAGGGTTCCCACAGTGAGCTCAGATTTCAAGTTAGCACGACCTCCCTCCTCACATATTTTAGATATGAAAGGGGACATTTGCAGAGAAGAGGCGGAGAGTTAGGCATGAAACAATGTTGTAGCTCTCTGTAAAGCCTTGGAATTCACACTAAGTGATTTTACACAGCCATTGTTAAATGACACTGTTCGAGGGTGCCAATGAGTGTCCCACCTAACTTCTCATCAATTCCCTGAGGTATGGTGTATGAATGACATACTTCAAAACAATCCAGTTGGAATTCTCTCCCTTTCTCACATATCTTGCAGCTTCCCTTTGTTCAGGGATGTTCTTCAGCAGCTGATGAAACCAGTACATGGCTTCCAGTGAGCAAACTTAGTAGCTAGGGAAAAATAATTCCTGTGTTCCAACAGAGGCTCCATGCCACTTCTGAACTGTTTCCTGACACAGTATTACAGGGACACAGAAACTCACTTGCAGTGTTGTTTTCAGGCATGGGCAGAATCAAGAGTCCAATTTTGGAAAACCACAGTATTTAAAGGGCACAGGTTTCACTAGTTTCAGCCT